ACATGTTAGGTTAATTCCTAATCCATAAAACTATCGAAAATTTCACAATCGAAAATATCATGATTATTCATATAAACATAATTATCTATAGAGCCATATATAAATGAACATATTTCGATAGCTTGGCTTTCAGTAATGTATTATAGCATTGGTTATATGGAATTCTGTTAGTGATTTTACCCTTAACTTACCATCAGTGATTCCTGAAAATGAGCCCTTTTGGGGAGAATTTTCAATAAACTTCATGTATAAAAATTATGTTTCTCCTGAAGTTGCAGCTTTAATTAAAACAGTAGACAAGGAATTTAAACAGTTCTTATAAAACGAGCAGAATATTTTAAATTCAAAAATTTGCTTACGGAAGAGACGCATCAGTAAAAACGTGATAACAACCACAAATAGAATTTCACAAAGCTTATGCTATATCGATTAACTCTGATGTTTATTGGATTCTGTTCTTGTTGCCTTAGTTCTGTTACTTCTAACACTTTAATTATTTTGAAACATGGAAGTATTTTAAGTACCGTTAATAAGCTTACAGTTAACTAAGTTATTTAAAATTTGGCAACCTATTAGATGTTTCCAAAACACTGCGAGTGTTTCGCACTTAATTTAAAAAGCGAGAAAATGAAGTACTTAATATTTAAAAGCAATAAATAAACTAAAAAACTCTGTTAAATGCATCGGAAATTAATACTACTCATTTTGCTCCTTGCATCGTTTTGCTCATCTGATCTTTTTTTCTATTATTACACTTCAGTAAATTGTAGTTAATGGTTGGTTCACTAGCGAAGTTTAATAACGCAGTACAATCTATATCTGTAATTTATTATAAAAAACTAAATTCAAAATGATTTTAATGTGATTAAGAAATATTTCGTGACTTAAAATATGATTACAAACTGTAGTTTTAATTATTATTTGAACATCATATTTAGTCATGATAAAGTGTTATATTATAATCTCTAAAACGTTCGTGGAAAATTTTATTATCTATGATATTTTCCCCTTTCTAATGTATATATACAACTTTCTTTCTCCCTTCTCATAACATATGCCTTAGTGGTGTAATGGTAGCATACTCGGTACGTATTCGAGAGGTCCAGGTTCGAGTCCCGGCGAGGACATTGCCCAGTTTTTATTTCCACTGCTCCAAAAAAAGTGTAATGACTCTACAAAGATCGCCCGAACTAAAAATTTGTGAACAATAATTCGTCACCACTGTCATTTGGGGACTGGATTCCCTAATCACAAGTTGCCCTTTAAAAATGGGAGTATATAAGGTATTTTTTATCTCCTTCCAGTACGACTTCATGGTGTAACGGTAGCCCCTTCGGCGAGTATTCGAGAAGTCCAAGTTCGAGTCCCGGCGAGGGCATATATCCATTTTTCATGGCTCTTGCTTCAAAAGAACCTAATGGACCTGCGAACGGGGCCCGAACTAAAACGTAGTGAACAGAAATTCGTCACTTCTAGCATTTGACAACTGGGTCTCCTGATCCCCAATAGAGCCCTTTAAAAGGCGTATTATATAATGTATTTTCTCTTTCCTTCCAGCATGCCTTCGGGGTGTAACACACCGCACTCGACTCGTACTCGAGAAGTCCAGCTTCGGTTCCCAGGAAGGGCACTTCCCAATTCTCATGTCCCCCGCTTTAAATGGCTCTACAATACATACCTGCTAATTCATCTACGACAACTGCTTTGTGACTATCAAAAATTTATATTCTTATGAATTTTATATCACGTTTTTATAAATATTTCTGAACATTAACCACTTTCAAATATGATAAAATACTTATATACTCAGCAATCAATGCAAGAACATGATTATTTCTGAAATTATGCTCAGCACAAAATTTTAACACTGAGCCGATGTCTGAGTCAAAATTTTAATTTTTCCTTGACCCTCAATGCATATAAGTATAATAATATTAAAAATCTTTTAAAAAACTAAGTATATTTTGCTGCTAATTTGTCATATTAAACGACAGCTTAATACACTTTGTCACAAAAAATATATGCATCCAGAAGGAAACGAACTACACCACGAAACTTAACTTGTATATAGTGTATGAGGACGTAAATAAAGGATTTCAATTTCAGAAAAAAAATGATGGTTTTTATTAAGACGTTATGGCATGAAAAAGGCTACAAATCAGTTAAGTAGCATAGCCACCTCTGGCCGCTATACCAGCCGAAACACGGCGTAGCATCGAATCAACTAAGTCACCTTTGAGCCCTTGCGGAAGATCATGGCATAATCTTTGCAGCTGGGCAGCTTCTGAAAAATACAGAGTGTATTTTTCAGAATTTCAAATATTATAGACATGCTAATATTCAGTGGCGTAGCAAGAGGGGGCCAAGGGGGTGTATGATGCCCTGGGCCCCGCTCTCAGAGGGGCGCCAAATGGTTTCCAAACAATATTCCAAACAAATTTCAGTTTCCAAACAAATTTCAGTTTTTATTTTGATCAATTTCTTGAAAATATTTAAAATTAATAATTATTGTAATCTAATTAATTATTTATTTTCTCGATTTGTCTGATAAAATGGGTAATAAAATATTTTCAGTACATCAACCAAATATCTCCGCATACAAAATGTTCTTTCTGACCACTTTATTTCTCTAAGAATAGAGATATAGTTTTAAAAAAAAAACGTAATGCACGTATAGCTTCCGCTTTTTATAACGTACGTATAGCTAAAACGATAACACGACATTGTTCCGAATTTCTCAAACATATCCAGTTTCCAAAACCCGATGCCATAATCTGGAAATGACGTTTTGGGAAACTCCTAAAGATTCCGCTAGAATGGATTGTGTTTGACTCTTCTGTAAACGACTGATGGCCTTACTGACTACCGATTAGTCATCTTGCTGAGATACCGTATATTCACTGCTCCAAAGCATTCAAAGCGTGTCAATTGTTTTTAATCTCCTTCTAGAAAAAAAATGCTGCACGTCGCTCTTTACTCCTTATCTAAAACGCAAAGTTTTCATCATCACAGACTAAGTTTTCACATTCCCAGCTTCGTAAACGTTATAATTTTCCTTTATAATCTCTTCTATTTCCTATTGTTAAAAAGGTTGTCGATTATATGGTTATTTTATACCATAATAATATCCCCTAATTGTTTTGAGCAGGGAATGTGACTGCAAAATGTTACTCCGTAGTAGAAAGGAAACTAAATCTAAAACGCTATTACAGATCTACGGAGAAAATGTTATTCCAAACATAAGAGACGCATTTCAAATATTCCTTACTATTTCATTATAAAATTCTAACTATGAACTTTCGTTTAGAAAATTAAAATAAATTTTGACATATTTATAATTGGCGACGGGACAAGATCCCCTAAGTCATCTAGCATTTTTAAATGTGGAAAAAGAAAAATTTCAAATGATCGATTATGATGAAGTAATTGATAAATTTGCTTCATCCAATGGCAAGAAAAATGCATACACAGTAATTACTTGTATTAATGTATTATTATATTATTATTAATAAATATATCTACTTATCTATAATATATACTAAACTTTTAATTATTTAAAATTGTACTTTTTTTAAAAACAATTATAAAATAATGTAAAACAGATAATACCTTTTTAACTAATTCTGAATCATCGTATGTCTGATTTTTCCGCTGACACAGATATATTTCCGAATCCATTGCTAGTATAGTTAGGTAGTGACTAGTCTTAATAATATTGTTACGAAATGTACAGGCGCGGTAAGATGGCTTCCCCGCAAAGAAGTTTAGGGTTGCATAAAAGAGCAAGGGAGGCAAGGATGCCACATTTGGCAAGAAATCGCCCATTTGGTGAGATTTGACGACAAAATTGGCGATATGCCATGAACGGATGGAGAACCTTCTGGAACGAATTCTTACCGGTTTAGCCCAGAATGTTCTCGAACACAAGCCGAAAGCTATATAAGCCCTGGTGGTCCTCAGTCAGTTAGTTAGTGTGTCTTGTCAGTATCGAGTCAGTTACTCCGTGTGGAGTCGATCGAGTTGACAGTCGGTCAGCGAGTGGCGACTCGGTGGTCGAGTGCACCGAAAGAATCTTCTAGTGTATCGCAGTTAGTGCATCGTCGAGAGAGTGTGCTGTGCTCCGGGAACGACTGAATCGAAGAGTCGGGAGCTGTGCTCTGTGTGTCGTCGAGTGCATCGCGAGCTGTAGTGTGGAGAGTCTCGAGAGTACGGGGAGTTCCGAGAAGGACCGAGCAGAGTCGGGAGCTGTACTCTAGTGCTTCGCAGTGAAGCTGTCTCCACCATTATTGCCTGACATTGTGAAGGCTGTGTTTCTGATTGTTCCAGCGTGTTTATAGTAGATCTTCGACGATTCTAAAAGTGTTTTGGAGCTGTCCTGATTAATATTGGTAAATAAAGTGTGTTTCGATATTCCATCAAGTGCTGCCGTCGTTATTCACTCCAAATCCACACGAACCTCTTACGAAAGTGAAGGAAGAAAATAACGAAACAATATATTTTAGAGTATTTTATGGCAGATTCACCATTTTATTATTATTTGCATTATTTTCTTATTATGAATATATTCTATACATAATATTACTATTTTATTTGGGGGGCGCTAAAAAGGTAATTTTCCCCGGGCGCCGGTTATGCTCGCTACGCCACTGCTAATATTAATATCAGTATGTGCAAGTCCTGAGCTATTCTTATTAAACTTTTGCACATTTTTCCAACGAAACCTAATTCTGAGATAAAAATTACGTTAGTTAAATTACAGTAAGAATACTTTATCTTATGTATTTATGTTTAAATTTTAAATACAAAACTTTGATTTTACTTTATCTTTCCTTAAACTAGGCATTTTACTAGAACAATACTCCTGTTATTCCTGTTTAGTATATTTTTCAACAAAGCTGTATGAAAAATATTAATTTCTTCTTATTTTTTTTAATATTTAATCATTTCAGATTTCTAGAAAGAAACAAGTAAACCTCTCTAAAACTGTTCTTTGTTTGCAGCTCAGCAAAAGCAGCAAAGGCAACATCTACATGCCGACGACGGATGTCAATTCAGAAGGAATTTACAGGTGCGAAGTTTCCACAGAAGCTCCTTCTTTCCAAACAGTGAAGGGAGAACAAGAAATGAGGATATATGGTAAGGATATTATTTATATAAACTTATTTTGTTCTACGTCAAATTGCAACCAATGGTAACGTTTGAAACTGATTTTATGTTCAATTGAGAAAAAGTTAGAGAATTTAGAAAGTACAGATAATTACATGAATCCATCGCAAATATAAATATGACCTATATGTATTCACTTTTTTAACGTTTCTGAACTAAAATATAATTGTTCATATACCTTTACACGTCATTTTCCTTATTTCAAAAAACTCAAAAGTGGTCCCTTACTTACATATTTTCAACATTAAAAGTCTCTCCGCATTCAGCAAAATGCGAACAGAATTCAGCAGAATCCAACTTCGAATTTAGAATCTTGATAAATTAGCCTGCCAGCAATATGCTCTAGACCTCTCAGAAGCATACTAGAAAGAACGCCGACAACCTAATAAAAAATGCTTCTTCCTACTAGAGAAAAATACATAACAGAGTCCATTTTATACACTCATGTCCATAAATTAAGGATAATGCAAAATCAGGCAAAGGAAGAGTTAGAAACAAAACAAATTTGACTTATTTGTAAAGCTTATTTATTAAATAAAAGGTAAAGAGCAAAAAAAGATGCTATATGTTGATATTATTAAAAAAATTAGCAATTATTTCTCCCTGGAGCAAATTACAAAAAAAAAAAAAAAAAAAAAAAAAAACCTATTTACAAAAAACCAATATTACATGGTTGGTATGATTGTCAATACATTGTATGTCTTTCAGACGATGCAATACAGTCCGTACAACGCCTAGGCATGCCGAGTATCAAATTATCGATCTGATCTTGGGGGATATTACACCACTCAAAAAGGAATGCACTCTGAAGTTCTGGTAGACATGTAGGAGGAGGTTGACGGGCTGCAACTCGTCGGCCAAGCATGTCTCACACGTGCTCTACTGGATTCAAGTCCGGTGAGAATGCTGGCCAGTCCATACGGGTGATATCCTCCGATTGAAGGCATTCGCTTACGCTGTTTGCACGATGAGGACGGGCGTTGTCATCCATAAACACAAATTATGCGCCCATGGTGCCCCGAAACAAACGTACATGTTGTTCCAGAATGACGTCCCGATAGATTTGGCTTGTCATGGTTCCAATTTGAACATTCAGGTCAGTTCTGGAACCCAGAATAATTCCACCCCCAAACGAACACTCCTGCACCACCGTAACGGTGTCGTTCAATGATGTTTTCTTGGTGGTAACGGGTACCTGGAGCTCTCCATATGAAAGTCCGGCGAGAATCAGACTGCAAGCTAAACCTGGACTCGTCGGAAAACATCACACAAGCCCATTGTTGTGGTGTCCACAATGCATGCTCTCTACTCCAGGCTAACCGCAGGCGACAGAGAGTTGGAGTAAGTGGAACGCATCTGACAGGTCTACGAGCATATAGACCAATCTCCCCTAAGCGTATTTATACGGTCTGCCTTGAATTTGTCGTACCAGTAGCTGAAGAGAGCTGACGAGACAGGTCTGAGGCTGTGCTCCGCCGGTTTCTTTTGGCAGTAACTGCCAAATACCGGTCCACATTCGGCGTTGTAACAGTAAGGCGACCTGTGCTGTAACGTCTACTCACATTACCATCATCTTGGAATCGTTTCCAAAGCCTGGAGATGACACTCTGGGCAATTCCAAGTTCGTCTGATACTTCCAGTTGGGTACGCCCGCATTCCAGACGGCCGATAATTCTACCACGTAAAAAATCATCCAAATGCGTCCTTTGTGTCATAACTATTCGGTTATTGCACCGAAATGCTTATAAAGCACCTGCGAACAATTTTACTTCTTTGCCTGTATTCCTTATATATCACTCTCTTACACTCTCGTCATTGTGACGTACCATCGGTGTCATCTGTTTACGTCTTGAAATTTGCATATGATTCTTGAAGTTGTGTAGTGATTTTACTGGTGATATATTTATTTTAGAGTTCGATTTCCGCGTGACTCTGAATTATCCTTAATTTATGGACATGAATGTAAATTAAACGTAGGTTTCTAAACGAACACTGCTGGTTGACTATTAACAAATATCATAGCTTAACAGCTTTCTTTCACCTGTATTTATCCTCGTGAAAAAAAAAAAAAAAGAAACTGACGGTCTTAACGGATTATCACTGTTGTCTAACATTAATTTAAGTCAATAGACAAGAGCTGAAATTGCAACTAAATTCCTTCATGAACTCTTTGACTCTAGCGCTTGCATAAGTAAGTTTAAAACTACAGGCCTTGTAGGTAACCAATGCTTGTTTGTTCACTTTTGTGGTCAGGGAAATGAGAGTTATGAGTATCTAGGAACCATACTTTTAATCCTTAATTCGCAGGCAACTCATAAAGAACATATGGGCACTCTTAATTGATTTTGTGAAAGATTTTGTGTGATGTCATGATTTAAATCAAATGCATTGTTGTCATTTACCATAATTATAGTTCTGTATATCATCAGAAAGCAAACTTCGAACAAGCAGCTATTTACTGTGAGGGTATGTTTTCCAGTAGTGGCTCAGAGAGTCGTGTATTATATTTCAGTAAGCTCATCAATGACCTACAAAATTTTATCAGCTTTGTAAATGAACGAAATTCCAGTTCTGATGGTTGACAGGAGGTCTTTGAACGTTATAAAACGTTATTAAAACGTTATGAAAACGTGTCTCCGAGTTATTTATTAAATACTGAACGAAGTGACTTAATAATAATGTAATATGTTTTCCATAGGTAACGTTAAGAATGTGTTTCAGAATTTTTTTTATCAAGGCAATCTTTCTCTAAGTCAAACGCGTAAATATAAAACTGAGCAAGAAAAATTTAGTTTGGCTTATATTATGCCAATCTATGATTGTATTTTTGTCTAACTTTAAGTCATATTTTTTCAGAATTATAATAAACAAAAGATTGAGTTACCATAATAAATTATCTTGCTTTACCGATTTAGCATTTATTTTCAAGATTAACAGTCTTCTAAGAAGAATTCTGCATCATTATATTAGAAAAAACCTTTATTTATGAATATTTTTATGTGCTCTTAAAGAAGTGAATTTTTGCATTTTGAATTTTACGTCGGTTTAGCATTTAATTTCAAGATTAACAGTTTTCTAAGAAGAATTCCGCACCATTATATTAGAAAAATTTTATGAACTTTATGAAACTTTGTGAAGATTTTTATGTGAAAAAATAATTTTAAGGAAGAGAATTTTTGCATTATAAGACACTATGAAATCCCACCGTGCATGTCGTCATTATGCTCAGCTAGAGCGTCCAGTTAGCAGTTGTAATATCATCACTTGTATTCGGTTAAGGGCACAGTTAATGTCTCCTGTTTATGAACTTCAGAAAGTAATAATTTATAGGTTAGCGCTCGAAACACAAAACTATTGACGATAACGCGGCATTTCATAGATTTGATCGATTAAATCTTGTGCCCCCTCTTTCCAGTACCATTTTAAGGAAGAAAAATGTGAAGAATTATTGTACACCTCCATCCATACGCTCATGCTGTGTATAAATTCTTACGAATTTTATCTAATAAATTAGAAGATTTGTGGTTCGATAGCTTGTGAAAATACAATTAATTTTTCATATTTCTCGTTCGAAAACTGTAAGAGGCTTTACACTATAACAAGCGAAAACATTTAGCTTGCTGCTTCCCAACAGCTAAATATATGATGTAAATCTTCAAATTGCGAGATCAGTCTTGAATTTTATAGCAATAAACTTACTGTTACAGTCTAATAAAACATAAAATGCAGTGATGTATCTAAAACTGATTGTTCTTTATGAAAAATATGTGATCTAGTAGGTGTGAAGTGAAAATGTACCTTTTGTGCCTAAGAATTTTAATGCAGAAAGAAACTTTCTAAAATTGTTTACGTTGATTCTAGACTACCATTATGTCATTATTTGTTTATATCTGAAGATAGCATAGGACACATTTGAGTTTATTTCAGCCAGTACATCGCATTAAAGGCATAACACAATCTCAGAGCTACCATATCGATTTTCCAAAAAGTGATTCTCACATTTATAACGGCAAGATGTTAGTCGCTAGTATGAATCAAATGTTAAATACTGAATGACTTTTAAATCAGACATCATGATTGTATATCTTTTTGAGAATTAAGGATTGATTAGAAGGACTTCTTTAATGTTTTCGCTCCGTCTGTGACATATCGCGAATTTTGTCTCTGAATATCTCCAGATGGCGATTTCACGCCAAATCTGACAACTCTGCCTTCCCTGCCACATTTTTGTAATCCTAAGACCTCGGAGGATGGTATCCCAATAATATTAAGTCACTATTCTTGTATTTGATAGCCAACACGAGTAAACAGTATAGAATACAGTACAGTATTTTCAAGCAAATTTTTAAGAATACCAATACTTACATTTTGCCGATATTGGCACTAAACCTTAATTTTAAAACAGTTGTTTGGTATTTGATATATCATTGTAGTTATCTGAAGGTTTCTCGAAGCATTATCAAGTATCTGCGAACAATAAAATATTGTATTTTCCTCCTTAAATTTAAAAAGAAATGTCATATTATGTATATCCTCATTCTCATTTTCTTGAATTATTCTTTAGCTCTTAGGATGCCTCTTAAAAGGGTACTTAGAAAGGTCTATTTGGAAACACTTCTGAAGTCAATGTGCTATTCATTTATTGATCGGATTTCTAAGAAAGTGCTGAATTTATAAAAATATGTTTTTTCACAAGAATTTTCCCTTCTGAAAGCAAATATAGCAGAAAATAAGTAAATAAAGAGAACTTATTTCACGCCGAATACAATATCAGCTTTATGTGCAATGTTTAAAAGAAGAAACTAAAACTGTTCCTTCAGCTAATCATGTTTCCGCCTGTACTTGTAAAAATTTACTTTCAAACCGTTTTCGCATAGTGTTTCCTTCAAAAGGGTTGTATTTTAATTCATTGCTGTCATTTCAACAATAATAAATAATATATCCTCCTCTTTAAGACAAAAATCCACGAT